AGAGAGAGAGAGAGATCATTCTATCTCTTGTACACATTTTTTAAATAGAGGACAGGTCCTAACCCCATTATCATTTATAACAAAATTTTAATTCAACATTCCCTAAATTAAATGCGATTTTGGGAGCATTGAATTAAGAACTTTCTCATTTTGATTGATGCAAATTTCAGAATATCTTTCACTATAAACATGCTTAGGGAAGATGAGTTGAGTAATTATTGTTTTGTTTTTTATTGATATGCATTTATTGCTTTCTTTTTGATGGATATGTTTGTCTTTTTTTTATTGTCATGCGTCTATTGCTTATTTTCCTTTTGAAATACAAAGAATATGAGTGTCTTAACCTATTGACCGACCCCTATTGGAATGGGATGTAGTTGCTTGGATCTCCCAACATAGGTTTCAATCCCCCTCCAGGATCTCGCTCTGACACTCCAAGACATGATCACCATGGGATCGTGATTTTTAAATTTTGGAATCTTGATCTCCACTTTTTAGGACCACTTCTAGCAACTCAAAGGGACCATGAGAGGCCAAGAAGATGATTCATTTAGATTGTAATTGAAATTGTACTTGCTTATAGCTAATGCTTTTGGAGGTTATAAAGTGTAAAAATTGCAAATAAAATAGCTTGATATGGTTTTGGAGGTCATGAAGTGTGAACTTTTAATTAAAGCAGATTTATCAATAAAAAATTGGCTCCCCATATTGTATCAGCTATCTGGATGTGCATCATCATGATACCTTCTTATTGTATCTTGTGAGATTATTGTTGCACAAAGTACAATTCCCAATTTTTGGTGCCTTTTTTACTATTTATTGTGGGATTATTATTTTCTATTATATATTTCAAATAATTATTTATTAATTAAGTAATTTTACAGAATGTGCTCCTGATTCCTAACTTAGGGAGCTTCTAGCATGTGATGATCCCATGCTTCCACTCCTGCTCCCACTCGTGCATCTACTTCCACAAACTATGGATGGCGCTCCCCCTAACATGGGATTGTGGCCAGAATGCGATCCTACTCTGTGAGTGTATTCCAGGAGCAGGATCACCACCTATGTTTCCCGGTGGCTGGCTCGTAGCTGACTGTTGAGCCATTGAACTAGAGAGTTAGGTCTAGCCAAATCAGTTTTTTGTGAATGCACAAAGAGACAAATGAACACCTAGGCAGTGATCTAGCCATCTCTTTCCTAAAGTACATTTCAAGCACAAGCCTGGAAAACTTAGTAAAAATTTAGAAATAGTCCCTTGAATGATTCGAGACCACTTAAATCATGCAATGAACAGGATGATCAGCCCCTTATTTGGAAAAACCAATGACTACCACAAAGCGTAGCGACGAGTTTAAAAATTACGTCAAAAAATGTGTAATACTGATAAAAAGAATCTTAATAGAAAATTGGGTTTAATGGAACATATTTTTGGAAAGCATGTGGTACTGAAATTAAAGATTTAGAGGAGGCAAATTAATGCATCGAAACGTTGAATACCCATGAGGAATATGGTAGAAACTTATGCAGTATGCACTTCTAAAATTATAGCAAATGGAAGGCTGCTATACTAGGGAGTGAACATATTTTGCTAAGAGAAACTATAGACAGAGAAATTGATATTAACAAATTAAGTATTTAGTTATTTACTATGCTCCCTATGGAGGAAACTATAGCCAACCTCTTGGGGAATCGACTTTCCAATGTTTCTTGGGATGGCAATTAGATCTCGTACTTTCTGTCCACTTGTCAGATGGATAGTAGGATTCTTTCCTAAAGATGTGCTTCATCTTTACAAATAAGGTCTTGTGCTCTTGCATCCTTTCCAAAGCTTACCATACCTTTCCTCTCTCTCTCTCTCTCGTTCCTCCCTCCCTTCCCCAAACAAAAAACAGGGGAAAAAAAGGAACTCTGTATGCATGTCTTTGCCTATATTTTTCTGGGTAATTCAGTGGTAGAATTTGAACTTGAGATGCATCTTGCTTTCGCCTACATGTTAACCTACCGAGCTCAAGCCTGAATTCATCTTTGCCCATCTTTATACTTGGCATGTGTGCATCTTGATAAAGATAGATATCATTTTGTGGTTCTGGTCAATACTAGTCTTATGCTTGACAACTTTGCTGTATTCAACAGATTTTTGTTGGTTTAGGAAAATGGCATTGTCTGTGCATGTAAAAAGCCACATACATAATACATAAATATGTATCTGCATAATGGATTGATATATCAAAATTCTACTAGCTTAGATACTTTTTTGTAGATATTATTGAATGCATTATATGTGGAAAATTGCATAATATGCATGGTCATAGATGAGGAAATCTTAATCTCATGGCCTTTTTCTTGTTGATTTATTCTGGTGCTTACTCTTCAATTAAAATAATTTTACAGGCCAAATCACTTGAGGCATTTGAGTTTTATGATGAGATGGTTCATGAAATGGAGGACATTTTACTTGACTCAGGAGATTCTCATGGAGCTAGGTTTCCTCAAGGAAATCGTGGGTTGTTGCCCCAGCGATCTCAGCCGTGTAGAGATGGCAGTTTAACTGCTTCTGCTTCGGGGAATGATGATGCTAACCCATTCTTGCAGTCTCCCCTAAAGATTGATTGGGTTGAAGTAGTCGGAGCAAGGCAGCAGAAGGGAGAAGTTTCCTTTGGGGAGAGATTAGTTGGTGTCAAGGAATACACAGTATATAGATTGAGAGTGTGGAGTGGCAAAGATCAGTGGGAGGTGGAGCGCAGATATCGTGATTTCTATACTCTTTATCGCCAATTGAAATCATCCTTCAGTGGTCATGGACTTAGTCTTCCATCTCCTTGGTTAACAGTTGAACAGGAATCCCGGAAAATATTTGGAAATGCTTCTCCTGACGTTGTCAGTGAAAGAAGTACCCTTATTCAAGCTTGTATAAGGTCCATTCTACATATAAAAGCCCCATTTGGAACACCACCTTTAATTTGGTTTTTGGCTCCTCCAAGGATGGTGTATAATTCCTCAACTGCTAACGGCTTGTCTACTGTCTCTGAAGGCAAATTTTCAATTCCAGCTCATGAGGAGTACATTGAAGGTTCTCCCAATTTGGGGAAGACCATAAGCCTTATCGTGGAAATACAGTCTCGTAAATCTATGAAACAGCTGCTTGAAGTTCAGTTGTACACATGCGCAGGATGCTACAAACACATTGATGGTGGAAAGTCCCTATTGCAAGACTTTGTACGGACAATTGGTTGGGGGAAACCTCGACTTTGCGAGTATACTGGTCAATTATTTTGCACTTATTGTCATACAAATGACACTGCAGTGCTTCCAGCAAGAGTTTTGCAACTCTGGGACTTCTCTCAACTTCCAGTTTCTCAGTTAGCAAAAGCTTATCTTGACTCTATCTATGACCAGGTTAGCCTTGAATAAGTTAGTGTACTACGTTAGCTATCTAAATTATCATGATGGAAATGGTTGCATGTTGTAAAAACATGGTTTTCATCTTGTGTAGCATGGAAAGCCTGATATTACTGAAATTTTAATTTATTTCAAGTGTTGTCTGACTTTATATATTTGTTCTTCATGTTAAGTTCTCTTATAATATCTTGTGTTCTTTTTGACACACATTTGCAATTTATTAGCTTTTTTAATATGTTGTGCTGTGATAATATGAAGACATGTCTCACAAACTGCAATTTATGCAATGAATTTTCTTTGCAGCCCATGTTATGCATTAGTGCAGTCAATCCCTTCCTTTTCTCGAAAGTTCCTGCTTTACTCCATGTTATGGGGATCAGGAAGAAAATTGGAGCAATGATGGGATGCGTTCGCTGCCCTTTTCAAAGGTCAATTCAGAGAAGTCTTGGATATCGCAGATACCTTCTTGAAATCAATGAGTTCTTTGCTCTTCGTGACCTTGTAGATCTCTCCAAAGGGGCATTTGCAGGTACTTTACAGGTCTTATACTCCTAGTTATTTCGCATGATTTTACAATTGAAGCTTAACGATAAGATCTTTTTGTATTGTAAATCTTTGTTTGGAGAACGGAAAAGGTTTTTCTCATTGACAAAATGTGAGTACTCAGCCTTCTTGGAGATTTTGGGCAAGATGTGCTCATCATCCCTGCTTCAAAGAAACTAATCTGTGCTGTACTTTAAATCATTTTCAACATTGGAAAATTTTTGACGTGTTATTGCCTTCCAAGGCTTTGCTTCCATGGTTTTATAGCTACGATAAGTTCACCAATTGGGCTACTGTGAAGTGGTCTCCACATATCATTTTTTCTCACTGGATATGTTGGAAAGGCATATAAAAGTAGGGTGGGCCTCCAAACAGTATATAAATTGTTTTAGGATGCTTCTTTAAAGAGTAAAATGGTTGAGCTTGAGTGTAGGACTATGTGATAAAGCACAATGTATATAAATGTAAATTTTCTTTTCTTCCACCAATTAGCAAAGGTGGCTTGTACCAAAATATGGTAAGGTGTGCCACCATAGGTGGCCTCAAGTTGGCCCCACCCCAATTTTTCCTTGTGATTAATTTATAATGGGCCCCACCCCTTATGGTGGGCCCCCATATGTATTAAGTGAATATTGATTTTAGTATTTTAGAAATAGAACTTATTTCTCTTTGATTATTTAAAACATTGAAAATTGATTTTCTCCTATATTATTAATCCAAATGGTTAAAATAAAATATCAAGAGAATCACAAAAATTCAAATAATCATTCTAAAAGCATATAACATAAAATTAATTAAAACTAAATATTTTTGATGGGAATCGGATCTGTATAGGTTGAAATTATGAATATACTCGAGCACTCCACCTTCAACTGTGGTCTGCGATCCACACTAGCTTTCTTAAGTTGGCCCAACAGTTCCCATGACCCACAGACCATTGCAGGGGTTCATGATTGGGCCACTAAAGTCAGCCAATAGGCCAGGGGACGTAATCCCAGTATGTAAACTACATGTTCTCCCATAGAAACGAGTCTATGGTCCTCAGGCCATGATGCAATCACAACTCTATGGTGCATAGGGGTAATATCTCGTACATGTACACACGTCACCCTTAAAGGTAGTTCGTTTTCCCGATACGGCTATCTATGTACATCTTGTGTGATAGTTCAGGGATGAAGCTTTGGCCCAGTCTCTAAAGGCCAACCATCACACACAAGGGCCACACAGTCCCTCGGCTCATTAATCCGGGGAACTCTGACCTCATCAATGGATGACCAGTAGAACCCTCATCGGTTTATTTCTATGCTCAAGTACCTTGGGTTTTCCAACTCGACTGGCCTAGCACGTCTAGCCAAGTCTGAGTATTGGCAAATAATATTTGCCTAGTATGGTCCACAAGAGGACCACACTCCCACTGAGTTTATGTTTCACTATATAAAATGTTTATACAAGCTCTCATAAGGCCTTTAATGGCCACATAAACCCAACAGAGCTAAATGCTCTTTTGAATGAGAATTCATAGATAATTGTAAAAGGTCGTATGAATAAATTGACCAAAAATTTGGGGTGTGTGTCCTACCTAGTATGTCATCCATATTGTTTAAAGTTTTGGTTCATTGTAATGAAATTATAGGGGCTGTGAGGGGAACAAAACGCTAAAGAATAGGAAAAAAGATGATTTTTGTTGGCTTTCTCCGGTGAGCTTCCCTGTTGAGAGATCCTGAAAGAATTATCCTTCATCAGTGAACTAAACAAAATTCCATCATAGACAAGATACCATATGTTGGATTCTTAACACAATCTCAATCACTCCAACTTCAGGATTAATAGAGGTCTGCCCTCAAATTTACAGCAAGAGATAATGCTGATAAGGTGAATAAGACATGATTAGATAAAAGGTCTATTGATCATGTGAGTAGAGATGTGACTGAATTATATTACAGTAAGCAAGAATTGAGTTGGCTGGTAGAGGAAAGAGCAAAATACTGGTTTGTAGTATCTCAGAGATTTTGTCCTATAGGAAATCTAGATGCTGTCAGTATTGATGAACGTATGTGTATAAATTCATAGATCAGTTACCAATATTGTAAGGAGAGCATGATGCCATTGAGTTTTCCTTAGCTGATACCATTGAGGTTCTCCTTTCTGTGTTTATGTTGGTGGTTGGATTTTTACAGCCCAAACACTTCTGGAATATTATTTGGATTGCTAAGAATAGCAAAGACCTTAAAGTTGCTATTGGGGCAGACTGGGAATTACAACCTTTTTTCTGACAAGGAAAAGAAGATGACTGCAAACCACATGTCTGAAGAGCAGATTTCTGCAGATTACGTTTAGGGTTTAAATCCAATTCACATGAATTTTGGGTACTATGTTAGCGGGAGACAAATTTGTTGGTCTTTCAATTTAAAGTTGGGGTTAAACTTGTATGAAATCACTTGCAGTAGTAGGTTGAAATACTATAAAGAAATAAATTATAGATTGTGTGATACAACGAAAAAAATGTACAATGAAAAAGTTCTATAGTTAGAACCTTTTTTCTTAAAGAGGCCTTAAGTGGAAATAGATGGCAGCTTACTAATTAATACAAAGTAGATTTGAGGTATTCATGGTTGTAATTGGGAAAAAAACCGTTATTATTGTGGATATTCTTCACAGAAGCAAATCTTCATTTTTCTCTTCTACTTGGTGGGTTCCTGTGAACTACCTTCCAACGTTGGCATCTTTTTCACCACTAGCTTTATCCTTTCTTGTAGGATATTCATCATTTTCAACATTTATTATGATCTATACGAAATGAGCATTTAGTGCATCATTTGATTATTTTCAATGTTTTTTTCTTTCTATTTATTCGAGCTATAACTGAAAATTCTTGCTCATGATGAATACCCACATCCTTACATGCAAAGAATAAGATCACGGGGACTGATGAATACCCACATCCTTACATGCAAAGAATAAGATCATGAGGACTTATCCTGCTTTGAACTATAATCATTCACATTACAGTCCCCGTGAGGAAGGGAGGGTTCTTTGGACTATAATTATTCACATTAAAGTCCCCGTGAGGGGGGGAGGGAGTGAGGGAGGGAGTCTGCTCGTATGTTGTGGATAGGATGTTTTGTGTTGTTGTGGATAGGATGTTTTGTGTTTGCCTGCGACCTAGGTGGGAGTGAGGGAGGGTTGCTTCTGCTCTTCTGTCGATAGGATGCATTGTTTTGTGGGAGTCTGCTTGTATGTTGTGGATAGGATGTTTTGTGTTGTTGTGGATGGGATGTTTTGTGTTTGCCTGTGACCTAGGAGGGAGGGAGGGTTGCTTCTGCTCTTCTGTTGATAGGATGCATTGTTTTGTGTTTGCCTGTGACCTATGGTCAATTCTCACATCTGCTGGTATGTTGTGGATAGGATGTTTTGTGTTTAACAAGTTCCTGATATTATTCCATCTTGACCTCCATCATGCATGCTGGGAGGGAGGGAGGGAGTGTGGTGATGCATTTATGGTTGCAATTCTATGCATGTGTCATCTGGCCTAAATAGCTTAAAGAGTTCATATCCAAATGATTTTTGTTGGCAGTGCTGCCTGACTTGATGGAGACTCTATCAAAAAGAATTTTGGATCACATCACACAGCAATGCCTTGTGTGTTGTGACATAGGTGAACCATGTGGTGCACGACTGGCTTGCGAGGATCCCTCTTCTCTTATATTCCCCTTTCAGGTGTGTTTCATTTGTTGAAACTTAAACCTCTCTAGTTTGATAGACATCTGGGCTCAGAAAATACTATGAAACAAAGGGGGAAGATCCTAAAATCATATTTCCAATTATAGAAGGATCCTTTCTTCTTTTTTTTCCTGTGATAAACTGACATAATAGTCGTGCAAATCAAAAAGTGGAGAACAGTGATAATAGTTGCCATCTTATGACTCCTTTAATTCCAAGCAGGATAGTGAAGTAAAGAGATGTAGGTCTTGTGGTTTATCATTTCATGAATCATGCTTGAGGAGGATCGCGGGCTGTCCTTGTGGGGCCCTCGGGGATGTTGGGCCAGCCAAATTAGTGAGCCGTGGGGCCCGAGAGGAGATGGAGTGTGGTTCTTTTGGTCTAAGCATGAGGAAACCAGAGTCTGGGAAAGGATTCTTCTCTTCCCTCTTCTCAAAGGCAAAGCATGAGGGCATATGGAAATCAACAAGGGACAATGATCCGGTTATTCTTATGGGCTCTTTACCTAGCACATCTCTGTAAGGTTTGTTGAGTAAATTACAATATGTATTCTTTTTAACCTACTAACAAATGGAAAAAGAGCTATTGCCTTTTCGTTGTGGAAAACTCGTGATTCACTGTAATTGTATGGGAGTATTCTGTAAGCTGTGCAATAAACATACCATTGTATTATATACAGAGTTTAAGAGGCCTGCAATTTCGTTACTCGGGTCCACTTGATTTATAAAGGTGCAGATTTTGCCATTCCTTTTCTGTATAATTTGCAGATTATTAGCACAAAAAGCAGGCTCAGGTTGGTTTTGTTTTCTGCATGTTATTTCAGGATTTGATTTAATAAGGTTGCAGTTCTTTGCTTTTTGATCGATTTTAGTGAGTTTTTCTATCTGAAATTTTATGTTTTAGGCGGTGTACCATATATCGTGTACCTAGGGTGTATCGTCTACCTAGGGTGTATGGTTGGTTGAAAATTCTGACTGCCAACAGTGCCTCTTTCTCTCTCTCTCTCTCTCTGTACACGTATGTGTGTGTGAGCGTTCGGTAGATCATTTGGCAATATCATGTGACTGCAAAGGGAGACATGTTAGTATTTCTCTGACTTTAAGCTAAGGTTAACCAGTGTTTTAAAAACTGGCAACCCAGCTGGGGAGTCAACCTAGTTACTTGAAATCGAGGGTTTCCTTTTTCCTGAGGCCTTTGAACTAGGAATTACTTGGAGTGACCCTAAATTGGCTGGTTTCTTATGGTGAACCGGCTGGTTCTTCTGTCTGACTCTGACAAATCTTGCGTTTAACCAGAATGGCCAATTCGGTTGTTATTCCTTTTTTGGGAGTTTTGCACCCGCTGATAATTTTCAGTATATACCTTTCAATTTAGATCCTTTATACTTTCAATTTGGACCCTTTTGCTAGTATTTTAGTCGCCAATTCGACCCCTTGAGCCATTTTCGCATGTGCTTCCATATCTGCAAAATGATTTTTAAAGAGTCAACAACAATTTTTCTCGAATAGAAAGTATCTGAAGTACGTTTGTTTTTTTTGTTTGAAAACTTACACATTGTGCCCCAGGTCTATACACCCAGCCCCATTAAACCTTGCTTGATTTTTTACTAGAATTAAGAGCAAGTATGTCACTATTGAAATATGACAGAATTGGACATGTAAAAAGCGTGAGTCAACCAAATTTTTTAGGATTTTTGATCCTTAAAACCTGTCAATTACTGAACCTTATAGGAGTACTCTTATGAATTTCATAGACTCGAGCATGTATGTCATAAATTAAAATTGGGTGAAAGTTGACATTTTTCCGTTGCTCCTCTGAGATTGTCTTAAAAATGTAGAAGAACCCAACGATGGAATTAGATGACGGACAGAAACAAGGCAAAATGATGAGGTACTCTTGCTTAGGGCAGACACTGTCTGTCTACTATCAAACAAACAATATCAAAACTCCAGACTTGGGCGTGTTTAGCTGGACCACTAATCATGAGTTCATGACTCCTGAGTAAAAGAAGAATTGAAAATTTTCGTCAAGCATCATTTCACATTTTTGTGAGATTTTTGGTCTACTCCAGTCACTCATGAGTATCGGAACTCCATTTTGTAAACACTCTGCAATCGCTATCGAATTTATTAAAAAAAAAGGAAGGTTTTTATACGTATAGAAGACAGAGATAATGACAAATAACCCCGATGTTAGATTTTCTATGCAAGTTACCCTCAACGAACCGTTCTTCCTCACTTTTTACCCAAAATATATTTTTTAGCAAATACCCCCCAACTAAAAAAAAACAGTAAAAATAGAAATCTAAACCATTCTTCTTTACTTTTACCCACATCTCTCTCTCCTATTTCGCGGTCTGGCGTATTCTTAGGGCGGTCCGGTAGTGTAATGTCGGTTTGGTAAAAAAATAGTGGCGGTGCGGCATTGACAAAGAACGGTCTAGCAATAAGCCCATGCGGTCCAGCACTGCCAAAAATATGGTCCGGCAATAGGCCCATATAAGCCCATGTGAATGTCGGGCCAAAATTAAATTTTTATGTAGAAAAAAAGGGTATTTTAAAAAAAAATGTACCTTTTTTTACTTGGGGGTATTTGCTAGGAAAGTGTATTTTGGGAAAAAGTGAAAAAAAGTTGGTTGGGGGTAACTTGCATAGAAAGTCTCGTCTTGAGGGTTACTTATAATTTTTCGTTATGCTTCACCTCCCTCATTCATTCAACCATCCAATTTAGATCAAGTGAGCTACTGGCCATTAAATCAGATCCGACGCTTTGTAGGATTTTATTTTTAGTTTTTTTCTTCAAATTATATGAATATGAAATTTGGTATGTGCCATCATCTCAATGGGGCGCACCTAAAAACAATATTGAAAACAATATTTTGGTAAAATATAATGACCAAAATACCTCTTGAAACTGTCAAGGGTATTTTGGTCATTTTATTTTATTGAGAATAAATAAATATATATATATATTTTTTTTTTTTTCGCAGGTGTGACTTCAATAGAGGAGTTGACATCCAAAATTTGGTATCAAAATAGTTTATAAAAAATATTAAAAATAAATTGTGTAGAGACGTGATATTGTGATTGAGGTCCATCTCAACCATCCATTCCGAATGGATGGTCATGTTATACCTTAGTTCTTGATGAGAAGGGCTCAAGAAGCACCTTCTAAAAATTTTTAGAAAATCAATTTCGAAAGTGCTCTAGAAGACCACTTATCAAGAACAGATGTCCGGCGAAACAAACCCTTAAAAAAACACACCAACCCCTCCACCCACCCCAACCAAACCCCATCCCCAACTCCGACCCCCAAACCCCCATACGAAAAAAAACAAAAAAACGAAAACACCATCCCCCCCTTAAGAAACAAAAGCACTCGCATCTAACAAAAGCTAAAGCAAACTTTGAGACTAAAAGAATATAAACCATCCATAATGAAACAGAAAAATAGTTCAAATAAAATGTAAAAAAAAGTAGTGATACGAAATGTGCGCCTATAATTTGACCATCTTTTTATTTATTTATTTGAACATTCCTATAATTTGACAGTCTTAATTAAATAAAGTTGAGTTAAATGGTATGGTGTCTTGCTATTCCTGATCCTGCAAAACTGTTCCACTTCTCTCTTATTCAATGTGGCGCCAGACTTCTCTTAATCTATATATCCAATTCCAACCTATGAGTCGCCAAGTGTGAACTTAATTGGTTGCTTCTCTTTGGACAGTTTTTATTTTTTTATTTATTTTTAGGAAAAGTTTATATAGAGCTGAGGCTCTAAACAATCAAATTTGAGCCTACCTCAAAAAGTTCACTAGAAGAGGTTGTTATGATGCTCAAATATCTTCAAATTGATCATCTCGACATCAAGATGCATGGACATGAGGAAAAAAATGGATTTCAAGTTTTGGAAATAGTGTATTTTGTAATGCATTTTTAGACCGTCAATTTTCAAGTTTTCGTAGATCTATCGATCTAGACTATTTTTGAAGCTTCGAACTTTATAAATCAATATGAAAATATATTTTAAGGCTATCACAAGATTTTCAATAGTGAAACCACATTACCCGACACGATTTGAAGGTAGGCTCTAATTTGGTTGTTTAGAGCCTAGGCTCTATACAAACCGCACCCTTTATTTTTTATTAGGGGTATATTTTTAGTTGTAACTAATAAAAGTGCAACATAGATGTAGGGGGAAGTACTCAAACGCCTCACTATAAGGAGTAGCTATCAAAAAATGATTAGCCAAATATAAATGGATGGGGTTTCTATGAGTCAGTAGACTCATATCGTACATATGTGGGCCCCTTTCAAATTTATTCTTATTCCAAAATTTTTAGGATAATCATGAATATGAAACAAAAAGGAAAAATTCAACATTTAAAATGTGATTCTTTTAGGGATATTTCTACGCTGTCTATATTTATTTTTTTACACCCTCCATCTTAAAGATGGAGGTTGGTAAGTCAGTGGCCTTTTGCACCCACTGACTCACCACCAACTTTTCCAATATTAATTTGTGTACAAAATATATTTCGGTGAAACATAACCCAATTTTTCCTCTTGGAGAAGAGTACTCTCTCTCTTGGAGTGAGTGTATTCATGTGATTCCTTTTAAGTAAATCTACGTTTATTTTATTTTTATTTTATTTTTATTTTTTTTCTTTTGGGTTGGTCTCTTAGGTGAGTTTTTTTTTTTGGGGTTGGTCTCTTAGGTGAGGTTTTTTTTTTTTTTGGGTTGGTCTCTTAGGTGAGCAGTTTAAATATAAAACTTCCCCTAAATAGGTTTCTACTAGGAGGGAGTAAATCTAGGATATACTCCTATGGACACCTATAATCTTCCTTTGATGATTACATGAGATTGGTACAAAAATTTGAGAATCACTCGAGCTATAAATGTGAAATTAAGGGAGGTGTACCATTGATCGAAAATATTTTATTCAACATTTTGCGCAGGCATCTAGCATTACATAGCTTGGAGTATTTGTGTAGTTCAGGTGCAAAGCGCAAAGCTCTCATTGAATATAATCCTCAAAGAATTAACTAAAGCTTGCAAGGCCACATCTATTAAAGCAATGGGGTTGTTGGTAAATGAAGGAAAAGTAGTTCCTTTTTTTCTTCCTTCCTTCTTCTTTGAGGGAATTTTTGGAGGCATTTCTCTAGCAAGCCAGATTCTAAGGTCCATCACCCATGGATATAAAATCTAACAAAGGTGAGCCATTTCACTTTTAAATGAGCGAAAGGGGGAAAATAGCCCTGTTACTAAAATGTGGTTCGGCACGCTTCGCGATAAACTGAACTCATGCATGTGATAGAAACAATAGGGCCAACATCAAAATCTACGGCCAAGAGTGGTGAACAAAAGCAAAGCCAATTAAGAATTGAGACTGATAAGATCACATAAAACTTTCTGACTCAACAGTATATATATCAAAGATTAGATATTCAACTGCCAAGCAGACCTCCATTCTCACTTTGAACAGAAATCAATACCCCACGACTCTCAAAAGATCATTTCAAACAATAAATCATCAGTGAAGAAACACAGCAATGAAGTTTGATAATCAAACACTGTCTACTAAAAAAAAGAATAGTTATACATCATCCTTTCCCCGAAAGGCCAAATTCTGGGTTTCCACCATTCCTAGAACCTTTTATTTTGCTGCTGAAATCCTGGATACTCCGCTCCAATAAAATTCTCACATAGCCATGCTGCAATATGAAATCGAGAGTAAATTTCCTTTGGATTTCCTCGACAGTTGAAAGATTATCAATGTTGCGGTGTTCTCTTCTTTTCGGAAGAAAATTATGACTTCGTTACCAGGAATCCTTAAATCTCTACATTTGGTTAGCTATTTCTGATGCTGAAAGCGAATAGACACTTCATGGGTCATTTTCCTCAATTCCCTCGCATCATACTGCACACTGATATGACTGAGGAAACCATCTCAATAACAAGAATTTCTTCAACCTTACCATGTAATAAAACAAAGCATAGCATGGTAGGTGCATCACTGTGAGTAGGAAGTACCTGAAATTTTTTTAATGATATGATTAATTAATTGATATGAATGGCTAAGAAAAGGAAATAGAAAAAAATGGAAAAGACAAATGGGTTTAGGCAGAGCACTTTGCAAATTACCATAGTGGAGCAAAAGGGGTTGACAGATCAAGAAAGTCATAAGGCCACCTGCAACAATGATTATAGGAATATCTTATGAGAGAAAGAGAGAGAGAGAGAGAGAGAGAGAGAGAGAGAGAGAGAGAGAGAGAGAAGAGAGAGAGAGAGAGAGAGA